TGTGGTGTGTTGGCCTTGGAAAAGATCTGTGCATCAGCGCCAAGAAACAGGTCATCCTCTGAATCTGACGCCATTCCTGCAACCGTTCCTACAAAACAAAACAAAAGTAAAATTGTAAAACTGTACTATTTTTTTAAAGTTCCTGCTGGGCAAGTCAAAATTTCTCCATGGAAACTAACTTTGTGAACAGCATTCCAAGAGTGAAGCTCAAGGAAAACTGTGAGCTTTGAGGAACAGGTAATGTCTAAAGACTAATATACAAGCATATTGATGTACCAAATGGAGGCTATTGTGTTTATTACCCTTCAAATATTCTTTGCAGCACAGAAAAAAATGTTTACGAACAGCTAATGGCTTACTGTGTCAGACGTTCACTTTTTGGTGTTCTCCAGCACTACTTTGTGAACAAAGAGGCATGACCCTTCTTCTGTAACAATCACAAAATGCTCTCTCATCTTGAAATTTTTAAGGAAAGTCTATTGAAGTGGGCACAAGGCTAGAAATTGTCAGAATATCACTTGGGGTAGGTCTATCCTTGGATATTCCCAGTATTAGCTGGAGCATTTGGACCAATCGCACAAGAACAAAACTTTTTGATGGATTATAATTTTCATTACTCTTATCACCTTTCTACTTAAAAATTTATTGATATTATAAGCACAAAGTTCCTTTCTACACGCTCCAGGTAGTGATGGGTTAATTTTCAGCCCTCATGTCCAAAGTTACAATCCAGTGTCCGAAAACATGACATAAGCAAATGATCTTTACCATGTCCTTACCATGTTCGGATGTCAGGGATAGTTGTTCTTCAGCTCCATCTTCCAGACCCTGCACTCGAATATCCTTGGCAACACTGCCAGCAATATACACGTCTGGACTTCTTTTTGAGTCCATCACTTTCAAATTTCCCTTCAAAGCTCAACTGAAACCACTGTTAAGAATCTGTTGCCTAATGGTCATTACCTGAAAAACGTACAAGTACCCCAACCTTTTTAGAGTTTTAAATAGAATTTAACCACACTGTTAAAAGCTGCTTGGTTTTAATTTTAACAACATTCAGTTATTTATTTATCTATTTGCTATACTTAGACAGGATAGCCAAGTTAAGCTCTAAAACTGATTTAAATGGGAGCCTGACTAAACGATAACAAAGCCAGACCACAACACCGGGAGCTCTGTTCCTCTTTTTTGAGAAAAGTGTGTGGGTTCCTTTATGTCCCCTGCTAACCAGTACAGAGAAGATGCCATTTGCAGATGTCATAGCAAAGGCAACACATTCTCAGTCCTCAATCATTTCAAAACCTTAAGTACTGGTCCAGTCTGGGGCTGGGGCTTCAACCCTTGAGATGATTTAAATGGTAGGGTTATTAAAATATATAAACCTTTTTCTCCATTACTGGCATGTCTGCTGATAACATCCTAAGCTGAGAGAAATTTCAATTTTCCCTTGTTTTTTTGGACAATCTCTAGGCCATGGAAATAATTAGCTAACATACCAGTTACCCGCTGCCTTTTAATTACTGAACATATGCACAGCAACATGGAATTTATTCTTTCCATTTGGAATGGTTTCATTTGATAGAATGGTAGTAATCAAGATTCATAACACAAACATTTGGGTACGAGCAAGCTATTTGACAAAAATAAAAATTACAGCATATGTCCATCATCTGGACTTTCAGGAAGATTTTATCTTGATGAAAGCTGATATCATATTGTCTTGTTCATGCATCTGTTGGTGAATATTCAGGACTTTTAGCTGTGGCCATTTTGATCATGATGACAAAAAGGAAAAGTTTTTTAACCAATGTTTGCATAAAACAACAGTAATGCACATGAAATATTGCCTAAAATTTCTCTTCGCATTCATTTTTTTCAGCAACTAGATTTTCCTTCTTTGGACACCACATTACTATTTTTAATTTTCAATTTGAAAACACAAAATTGGGCTTGAAGTCCAAAGATGGCTTGCACCTGTAAACTGACACATTTTCAATTTTACCAACTCTATGACAATTGCTAAGAAACAACAAACTGACACAAATTATTGTTCCTATCAAGTTGCATAAACGTAAAGCGTTTTGCATTCATTTCTTTTTAATCAAAAGGATAGTAAGCTAGCCAATTTACGTCCTTTTAAACGGCAAGAAAGTCCCGCGTTGTTTTACGAGTCACAGCATCAATGCTTGTAATTTCATGTAAATTACCTAAACATGTATGAATACTTCGTTTCAAGTTAAAATTAGTTACAGTTGACAATAAAAACATAAAAACATTATTATTGACCTAAGAATGACTTCCTCGCGAATTTAGCAACTAAAAGTTACTGGGAATAGCAACGCCGACTTATAAGGAATTAATCTTTCCTGTTTAACAGTTTCGAGAACAAGATCTCGGACTAATGTTACCATCGTAATTGATAAATTTAGATCAGGTAGAACAACACGAGATGGTTCGTGTGAATGAAAGTAGCTTAGAAATGCCATAGCAAAATTATACGAGATGAAAATAAGATTTACCAACTACGAAATTAGAATCCAGGACGACAAAAAAAAAAATAATTTATCCGAATTGTTGAAGGTAAGAGCAATTAAACGACTTATCATTAACGTTTTCGATTTTCGGTTGACGTCGACATGACAAAATAAAAACACAATGTTTATCTTTACCGAAAAACATGTCAATGTTTTCAAATCTAAAAGCACAAATTAATTGTACTGTGTTCTACATTAGGACAGACAATACTCACCAAAACTTTAAAATAACAATACTGTTCATTCCTAAGTCGCCGAGCAGGAATTATGCAAAACAAAGAAGGCAGTCGACGTTTTGAAATGAGATGTTCATATTTTTACTCTTTTCCAAAGCAGCGTCAAACTATCGCGAGACGAACAGGCGGTTAACTCAACACATTTTTCTACAATTTCTGTATAAGAATGGTCGCTGCTGATAGTCTGCTGTGCTCCAGAGTCTTTCGCTCGCTTTTGTATATATTTACAAATACCTGTGATGTCTCCACATGTCCCCTACAGTTTGGCGAGACAGAATATGTTTGTCAAGGGGTCTGGAACACCTCTGTGCCTTTATCTCCACCTCCCACGCTTTTTTTACTCCCTCCCCTCCCCATCCCCCCCATGCAAATGAAACTAATGGTAACGCGTAACGCAACCCTGGCAAGATTTAACCTTCATTACAAACATTTTTTTTACATTTTTTTTTCTCTTCCAAAGCTTGATAGACAAATTAAAGTTTTCACATCTACCAGGAGAATGATCTACATTAAATAATGAAGGAATAGATAGCGTTGCATAGCTTGGTTTCTATGTGATGCTGTTTTTTTTATCTCGAATAAGAAAATTACAGTATTTTGCCGAGTTGGTAAATAAATCCCTTCAAGTGCAAGCAGCTGATATGTCGGCTACTAATGTCCACGACGTAGATATTGTCCGAGAAATGAATATTTGGCCGAGAGGCGAAGCTTCAAGGGCAATTGCGAAATTTTGAAGCCAATCCCTCAGCAAGGGTTATCATGATTACCCGCTCTCGGCGCGATCGGCCACCAAGCCAGAAGGAGGTTTATTTTATTTCTTTATCACGCGTTGACGGTGAATTTCATTGACTTTTTGTACTTTTCGGAGCGGTATTTGAGATCAAATTTTTTCACATGTCACTATAATTGGACTTTACAAAAACGAGTTCGTTTTTCCTCCATGCAAAGTAATAAAGATGGAAATGTGTGACTCTTGAACTGGGTTTTTTTTCTCCTAGTTCTGTTTCCTTAAATTCTGTGGAAATAATCGGAAAACAAATATTGACGTAGACGGAGGTTCTTGCGGGATAACTATCCGGTGATTTTATATTACGTGACGTAAAGTAGCCAAAAGAATCCCCGTGATCGATCAGGCCCCTGCCGAAAATTAAAGGGTGGGTTGCATATATTGCTATAATTTTGGGAAGTGTCGTCGCGTGATATCTAAATCTGAGCACCTACGCCTCCCCTAGCCTAACCTTAACCCTAACTTTTTATTATCGAACTGTTGTAAGTGCAAAGTTGTACTTACCAAGACGTTTATAAGTACGCTCTACGAACCTATGACATGGAAGCGAGGTACATCGGAAGCTACTGGTTCCGGTTTGCGTTTAAACAGCTGTTTGAAGAAAGGTTGTCGGAAAAGCGAAAAAGTGCACGCGACAAACCCGAAGGACATTATGGCTGTTTTTAAGGTCACGGTTCCTTGAACTCAAGACTTAAGGGAAAGCTGAGAAAATATTTGAAGTGACTTAAAGAAAAAATGTCTACAACATAATATTCTATTGTTCTTTCCTCTCGTATTCACGCGCATGTCAGTATTTATCCCCTGTTCATTAGTTCTTTCGTTCAAATTTATTTGTTTAAAGGCTGATAGTTTCGAAAGAAACTGTTTGGGGCTGCGTCGGTGGGAGTAACGAAATAATTTAGATATATCAACAAAGTTGAAATGGTAAATTGGCCACCGTAACGATTACAAAAGCTGACGTTTCGAGCGTTAGCCCTTCGTCG